CTCCATTTCGAAACCCTAAGCTCAAATTTCTGGAACAAAAAACTAAAATCCTACATTCTGACCCTACGTACCTAGGAACAAACCCATTTTGCAAACACTCCACACACAAAGTCGAAGATCCAGATCTTCCACACATTTGGTCTTGTTGCTTGAAGGGTGTCGATTTCAGCTTCCATTTCCCTCCTAGCTCGTAATAGACCAGGAATCAGTTCATTCGATCTCTCACACATCGGAGGATCACACCACATAAAGAAGGTGCATCCACCCACATCTTGGCTTCGAGGACAAGTGAGAAATCTTCTTCTCGGGTTCAAGTTTGTCCACGAGGTCTTCATCTGCACTGGGGAACCACATCTGCATACATTTCCCTCCATCTTCTTTCTGCATACATTCCCCTCCATGTGAGTGCTGATTTTTTTGACTACCTATGAGAGAGAAGGTAGGTAATATATAGTGATAAAGAAATGGAGGGAAATAAACAGTAAAGTAAATAATATGAGGAAAATGTGTGTAATGACCATGTTGCCCTTCACTTATTTGGGGAAAATTCTTGAAATTATCATTAAAGGGGTCAACTGACGGTTTTGGCAGTTAAACAGACGGAAACCATCATTTTGGACTGGCCCCACACATTTTTTAAAGGTTTGGTATCTCCGGTGACACAAACTAAAGGTTTGGACAAAGTCTGCTAATAAACGAAATGTTTGATACCTCGACTGCAATTTTCCCTTTAATATAATATAAATTCGTTTACAATAAGAAAAAATTGTTATATATCCACCCCATGTAAGAGCCTCTGTACAGACCCTGTGCAAAAGGGTGTGTGCAGGTAGCACAGTTCTATATAAAAAAGGAGGTCAATCTAATTTCTGAGCATGCAAAACATGAATTTTGATGGATGTACAGGACATTCTTCCTATAGATGTTTTATAGACCCCTGACATGACGTGGGTCCTGCATGGACCGAACTCATTAAGCCCTCGTTTGACCCCTATTTTTGGGTAATGAAAATGAGAGGAATGATATTTTTTTGAAAAATAAGTGGTAGGAAAAAAGAAAAAAATTTCGATTTACGTGTATTATTATTTTATAAAAGATTATGTGGTTAAAAATAGGATAGGAAAAATAGAAAGTAATGAAATGTAATTTAATGGGGATTAAACGGGGGCTAAAAATATAGCCCCCGTTTGCCCTCATTTTTGGAAGGATGAAAATTGGTAGAATAGTATTTTTTTTTAAAATAAGTAGTTGAAAAAGAAAGAAAAGTTTTCGATTTACGCGTAATATTATTTTATGAAAGACTGTGTGGTTAAAGATAAAAAAGAAAAAAATAGAATGTAATGGAATGAAAATTAATGGGGGCAAAACGAGCATAATTCCAAAAAAAACCCAACCCACTTTTGTAGAACCCCTACGTGGTTCCCAGCATGACTCGCTAAACATTTAAATGCTCAAATAGCCGACGGAAATTAAATCACTGAAACATTTCTATGGCTACTGATATCGGCACCTTAGAGAAAAGGTGAACTTTTGGACCTAATTTCACCATGGAATTCATTTTATTTTTATTTTTTAAATTCAGGTGATTTTTAAGATCTTATGCGGCATGTTTGTTCAATTTTTTGCTATTAAAGTATATTTTGTATACTGATGACTGAGATTGGTGGCGAAAGATTTATTAACATTTGATGAAATAAGAAAAAGATTAGGAATCAGATGCTGAAATATTATCTGCAATTGAAAATTACTTGTCCAGTATTCTGTTGGATAAGTTGCCCAATGTTCAATTTCGGTATGCTGTTTCACTGTTCTTTCTTTCAGTTTTCCACCTCTGAATTTTGTGACGCTTATAACTTGGGATGTCCAATTGTAGCTTTAGATCCTATAAAAAAGGGTATTAGTTGTCGCATGATTAACACTATTTTGGTGAAAATACTGTGGGCACTAATTTTAGTGATTGCTAATAAAAGTGAATTTGATGATTTTCTTTTACTTTTATGCTGAAACGACCATGGCTTACCACTCTGACGACGAAATTTCTGTTGATCTGTTTATATTGCGGCCCATTTTCAGGTACTTTGATGTATGCAAGAAGCATGGAATTCTGCCAAATAAAGCAATTCTAGCTGAATTATTTAAGGTTTATCATCCATATTTCATTCTTTTTGTTTACATGAGATTCGTTATGGCATGAATGAACTTACAACATATAACTGTTTTTGTGTCATTAGAGTCTTTATGGAATTACAGTATGGGGTATACCTAATGCGAAACTTTAGAAAGATTTATGACTTTTATTCAGTGGTTTCAGCTGGTTTCTTTTATATTGGTTGTATGACTGTGTCATTATATATCCTGTTTATTTTTAATGACAAGATAACATAGCTCTAGAGATGGGATAAGGAATATTGGTGATTTTTATTGAAAGGAATTCATTGCTTAGATTAAGCTCGCGTCTACTCGAAGATGGGTCTTGGTAAGAAAGGCTTCTCATACATGTGATTTATTTTGTTGGGTAGTACCATAGTACGATATCTAAAGCATGCTATTTTGTGACAATCTTCATCTGAAAGCGGAATTTTTGGTGCTTAGTGTTAGAAATAATAAATGATATGTGAATAAACACTTCTTTCACATACAAGTCCGGTGGCCTAAACTTAGCTCTTGGTATAGCAGCTAGCACATTGATACATGAAAGTTGAATGGTCAGTTTTTCATCCATACTCTGTCAAAAATAGCTCAAATGG